CAAGGTTGGAGTTGGGGTGAGCTCTGGTAAGCTTCTTAGCATGCATGTAGTTCTTTAATTGTTTTAATATCTTTTCTCTGCAATGCTTTCACCTTACGGATAAATATGCTGGCTTAGAAGGAGATGTGTGGTAACTTGTACCTGCGGGCAATACACTGGTCAGAGCCCTTGGAGAGAAGGCAAAATGCAGGTGCTGGCCTTTTTAGGCAGTCTGGTTTGCTGGGGATATTGCAATGTAGATCACGGAGCTGTGTGGTTAAAACCCCTGGTCAGGATGGAGTGAGATGAGGGTCTCCTCCCAGGAGAGGTGATGGATAGGAACTGGAAACCTTTAAGTGAGTGCCCTGGAGGGGTCACAGCGACCATTATGCCCCATACAGGTGCAGTTACCCTGACGCTGTGACAACACATACATCTCATTACCCTGTCCTTGTGCCCTCTCCCTGGATGTGCTGCGGTACGGTGGAGTGGCCCAGACATCTCATTGGCCTGTTCTTGTGCCATGCCCATCCTGCCATTTTTGGTTATTTTAAAGTAATGTTTTAACTGAGTTTTTTTATTCTAGTCGCTCTCCTCAACCAGTAAAGAGGGCAACCACGCTCCCATGCACAAATCTCGGCACGTATGTCTTCTCAGTGGGAAGAACTTTGTAAATAGCATGCGTCATGCAGGCTGTGAGGTTGGTATAGAAATCCCTCGCCATGTGCAATGTATCCGTGTGATCAAACAATTGAGAGGTAACGCATGCCATGGAGCTGACCTGTCCCTAAGCACTTGAGGGAGGACGAGGGCTCTGCATTCACCCTACAGTTACTCAACATTTTGTTGTCCCACATGCTTTGAGGGAGCCAGTGCTAGTCTCGGCTAGAGAGGGAGTCCGGAGGAAGCTGGAAACCCAAAGGAAAATAGTCGGCGTTTGGGTTGAGCAGGCAGTCTCAATTGCAAAGAGAGGGAGCCCGCAGCTCGGTTGTAAAGGAGCTTGTTAAGTGACCCTTCCCTGAAGCTGAATAGCTATTTGAATTTAGTTCTAGTCAAGCATGGGTTGCAAATTCCAGATGGCTCCTCTGTTTTTCAGCCTGGTTCTACCCTTCCTACGTACAGTGGGTTTTGACAATGTTAATTCACCTTGGAAAATGCTCATGACACCACAGTATCAGGCGATGGTCAGACCATTACCGCATGCCGCCCCTCCGCCCTTCAGCTGCCGATTCATCCTACCGGCACCAGGCATGTTTGACATACAGTCCTGGTTCCGTCGGGCCCTTGTAGCTGCTCTGAAGCACTGACCTATCACTGGAATGTATGTGTAAATACCTGGAGGACAGTTGTCCCCACTGATACGTTCTGATATGTATTGTGTCAAATCTGTGCCCACAAACACAGACCACCGGAACCACTCAAACTACCCACGTGCCCCTTAGCTGATAGAACCCAGACTAGGGTGACCAGATGTCCTGATATTATCAGGTCTGTCCCAATATTAGGAGCTTTGTCTTATATAGGCAACTATTACACACACCCTGTCCTGATTTTTCACACTTGCTATTTGGCCACTCTAGCCCAGAGAATGACTGCAAATGGTAGTTGTTAGTAGTAAGCTAATAGACACCACTAGAGGGCGACATAAAGTCCTCACAGCCAGTGGGCTTTCTAACCAATGACACCTACGCCACTAGTGACAGCACAGATGCTGCACTCTTCCCCATCCCATAAATCATTCATTCACATACATGAAATGCATAACCAATATGTACACTGGAAAGCTCCATTATGTTTTGTTATGGCAGAGTATTCAGTGTAATGCATCTTATTTATAACACTCTTCTTTCATTTCTCACTTCTTTCCTCATCTACTTTATCTCCTTCCTCCTTCCCAAACCCTTCCCCACTTTTCACTCTCAGGACCATTTTCCCAATGTTCCTCATTGATCCTTTGCCTCCTGGCTTTTTTCGCAATAGCTCATTTTAAAAACAGCAACCAAGAAGAAACATTAAGGCAGAGTTAACCTTCAGGTATTGTATATCATGTCCTTCATCATTCAGCAGGACAGGGAACAGAGAGGAAACGTATATGCTATGCACTTCAACAGGAATAGAAATTTGGGAGCAAATCCATTTCTAGTCACTCACAGTGATTAATAGAGTTGTACAGAAGCAGTAATAATAATTAATAAACCACCTGAGCCTTTTACAGAAGTCTAGTAAAGATGTACTAGGCCCTTTATGGAGTAATGTTTAATAATCTGACATTCAATTGTTTGAATCTTTATTTTTCACTTCTATTCCTGTGAAAGCACCTTAAGCCGTCGGTTTGGAGCAGCTGTTGGAACCACAAAAAACCTCTGAGCTTTTAATGTTAAAGAAGCAACCTTAGGGACCTAGGAATTGCCAAACTGGCTCAGACCTGAGGTCCATCTAGTCCCATATCCTGTCTCTGACAGTGGCTAGGACCAGATGCTTCAGAGGAAGGTGCAATCAGCCTTGCATTAGGCAGGTGTGGAACAATCTGCCCCTATAGTAGGTCTTCTCCAAGTCCCTAGTTAAGAGAGATCACTTTAAATCCTCCTTCAAAATGTACGTAATTTATGTTAGCATTTAGCTTTGGATACTCCTGGTATCTATATAAATCTCCAATCCCTTTTTGAAGACTGCTAAGTTTTTGGTCTCAACCATATCCCGCGACAATGAGTTCCACAGTCTAATTCCACATTCTATTTGTGTTTGCCTCCTTTTATTTTCATTGAAAGTCCTCTAGTTCTTGTGTTACGGGGGCAGGGAGAACAGAAATGGCCTATCTCCCTTCTCTAGATCAGTCATCGATTTTTAGGGACTTCTATCATGTTCCCCCTTCTTTGTCTCCTTTCTAAGATAACAATCCCCGTCTTTTCAATCTCTCTTCATTTAAGTGATTTTCCAGGCCCTTGATCATTCTCATTGCCCTTGTCTGAGCCCCCTCCAGTTCTGAAATAGTCTTCTGAAGATGGAGTGACCAGCACAGAACACGCTATCCAGATGAGGCTGAGCCACTGTATAATAGTTTTTGTATTATTCTCCATCCAGTTCCTTATGCATCTTGTTTGCTTTTCTGACTGCAGGTTCCCATTGAGCAGAGGTCGCCTCTGAGCTGTCTGTAATGACATGGCATTTTAACTAGAACGAGTTGGGAATTTTTTGACAATGGTATTTTGTTGAAACATACACTGTTTACGAGAAAGGGGCAGTTTTGATGAATTTCCTGAGTTGGAAAAAAGTTTCAAATTGTCAAAACATCTCATTTTGACACTTTGGAAATAAAAAAGGTCTGGTTTTGGTTCTAAATGGATTTTGTTGTTGTTGTTTTGAAATTTAAGTTGATTTATAGTAAAAAAAAAAAAAGAATTAGAATAAAAAAGGTCAAAATCAAAATGAAATGCTTCAAAATGATTGCAATGAAATCTTTCAATTGACCTGAATACAGGTTTTTTTCTGGTTTTGTGATTCATGATTTTTTTTGAGTTTTTGACTTTTTGTCCCCATTTTGGGTGGAAATAATTTCTGAAATCCCAAATCTACAAGTTGTGTTACCCTAATTTAAAGAGGGAAAGTATGCATAGCATTCTCTGGCTTTATTTCGTAGGCCTGGTCTACACTGGGGGGGATCGATCTAAGTTACGCAACTTCAGCTACGTGAATAACATGGCTGAAGTCAACGTACTTAGATCGACTTACCGTGGTGTCTTCACCGTGGTGAGTCGACTGCTGCTGCTCCCCCGTCGACTCTGCCTGCGCCTCTCGCCGAGCTGGAGTACAGAAGTCGACGGGAGAGTGCTCGGGGGTCGATGTATTGTGTCTAGACTAGACACGATAAATCGATCCCCGCTGGATCGATCGCTGCCCGCCAATCCGGCGGGTAGTGTAGACATACCCGTACTCTAGTTATGGGACCTCCCTCCCAATAGATACAGCAATAACGTTTTGGCTCATGTGAGCACAAGACAGTTCAGATGAACATATTAGGACTGGCAAGGATCACTTGTGACCTTCTTCCTGGCTTTTGTCAGGTGGCTGATGGCCTTAATGTTTTGATGAACGTGTGTGTGTGTGTGAGAGAGAGAGAGAGAGAGAGAGATGTCAGAAAAAAATCATTCCTGACAGATTGTAGAATAATAGTAATTATTATTTGTATTGTGGTATTGCCTAGTGCTGGGTGCTGTACACGCTCATAACAAAGTGACGGTGCCTGCCCCAAAGAGCTTACAATCTCGGTATCAAACAAGAGATGAGACGTGTACAGAACACACAGCTGGGGAGAGCAGAAGGTAGCCGTGAGACGATCCTGAACAATGTGGTAATGCTGTGAGCTCACATGATGCTTTGCATGGCAGGAGCTCAAAGCCCTACACAGACGTAAGCATCGTTATCCTGGTTATAGAGAGGGAGAGAGGTCCTGAGGCTTGCCAAAGGTGATGTCCTGAGTCAGAGGCAGCAGTTTTCTTGAACAAACTGAGATGCTGGTGTCCATGTCTAGAACTTTAACTGCTCCATCCCCTCCAGCTTTTGGAAAGCCTGGTTGAGGAGTTACGCTGTACCTCTTCCCCTCAGCTTGGCCAAACTGGGGCCCAGATGTAGTACGGGGGCAACTTAATTCCAGGGATGAGGCTCAGCATGACCCCAAGCCCCCTGGAATTTCTCCTGAGGGTATCTAGCCTTAGTGTTCCCTATCCTGGTGAAACATAGAAGGAGCTGGAAAGATTCCCACTGGTTTGGATCAGGCCCAGCGTGAGGAACGTGAGGAAAATCAAAAGGAAAACTCCATCCATTGACTTAGAGTTTGTTTTCTAACAAGTGTCCCAATTTCCATTCCCTAAGGAACCAGGTGGACCGTAAAGCCTACAATAAGAATTGCACTGGATATCACCTAGACTGCAGACTGCATTTAGCTGCTTCTTCCCCCTCGCCTCATCAGTGTCTGTTTTAGTGCCAAATTACCATTTGTTTTGTTTTCTCTTTCCCTTACTTAGGGAGCGAGTTTTCTGGAAGTCCATACAGCCACCCACAATATTCAACATACAATGACTCCTGGAGATTTCCCAACCCTGGATTGCTAGGTGAGTTTTCCTACTGAGTTTCTACGGGAACAGCCTGCTCACTGCAGCTGGGGCTTGTCCTGTAGGTGGCTGCAGATCTCCTCACTGGATGTTGGGCCAGATCTGGCCTTTGTGCACGTCCAGTCATGGTAAGTGAGAAGCATCTCCTTGCACAACCTTATGTGTCCTTGTTGGATTCCCTCTGACTGCCCACAATGACAACAATCCTGCTTCAAGATATACTAGGACAGACCCCTGCGCCGGTCTGGGGTCCTGTCTCTCTGCTGGCTGTTCTCGCTCCATCTCTCTTTCTCTTGGGCCTGGTCTACACTACGACTTTAATTCGGATTTAGCTGCGTTAATCCGAATTAACCCTTCACCCGTCCACACTACAGAGCCAGTTAATTCGAATTAAAGGGCACTTAAAATCGATTTCTGTACTCCACCTAGACGAGCGGAGTAGCGCCTAAATCGATTTTGTTAATTCGAATTAGGGTTAGTGTGGCCGCACACCACCGAATTACTGTGTTTAAATTAATGGGGTAGTGTGGCCGCACACCACCGAATTAATGTGGTTAAAAACCGAATTAAGGTGCTTAGTGTGGCCGCGCACAATCGAATTTATACAACCTGTTTCCCAAATTCGAATTATCTAAATTCGGATTAATCCTGTAGTGTAGACATACCCTTGCACGCACGCACCACATTGCCTCATACCTTGCCCCCATTCACTGACACATACAAGATTCAGATTTGTTATTTGGAGGGCTACAGAGTCCCTTGCCTGCAGAACATGGTGCGGTCACTATGGTGTTAAAAAACAACAATATCCTGGTGTTTTGGTAGAACAAAATGTTTGTTTCCAAATTAGAATAAATAGTCTATGCCAGAATCCAAGACCAGAGAATTGCCTGCAAGGTTAGTTCAACCTGCTCGTCTCGCTCGCTACCAATGCCTATTCTTATCAACCCCCCATTTCATGTCTGCTTTTTAATTTGGCTTTTGCCACAGATTGGGGCTCCATTTCTGGGTGGGCTTCTGCTAGCAGGAACCCCTACACCTGTGCAAAATCTTTTCAGCTTGAGGGGAATCTCCTGAGCCCAGGGTCTGTGCTAGCAGATCCTCATGCAGAATGGGGGCCCTAATCTACAGAGTGAACATGATCCATTTTACACCACTGTCTCAAAAATTGGCCCCTTTGACTTTTTATATACACAGAGCACACATTAGTGAGAATTTTCCTGCACAGTTTGCATGGAGGAGGCAGGCAAAATACCAATTAATTGTCCTCTATCAACTGTAAAAATAGAAAAAAACCGAGGAGTCCTTGTGGCACCTTAGAGACTAACAAATTTATTTGGACATAAGCTTTTGTGGGTTCTAGCCCATGAAAGCTTATGCCCAAATAAATTTGTTAGTCTCTAAGGTGCCACAAGGATGCCTCGGTTTTTTTGCTGATACAGACTAACCACTGAAACCTGTAGGAATAGAGTTTTCCAGATTTATGGATGACAGGCTGATGTAGGTGACCTCCAGCAGAGGAATAATTTTGAATTTTTGACTTTTTTTCATTGTTTCTTTGTTTTAAGTAGTTGAACCTCTAAGTAACTGAGCTACCCAACCTTTGTTCGTCATGATTCTTGTCTTTAAAGAAATCCTTTGGGAGTAACAGACAGCGACAGCGCCCCATGCCATGGTACAGGTAGAATACCGCCACTGGCAGTATTATAGTTAAGGGTCTGTTAGTGCTTCCCTCATAAATCAGAGGCCAGATGCTCTGCTGATGCAATTTGGCATAGCTCTACTGAAGCCAACCAACCTACATGGATGTAAATCCATGTAGGATCTAGCCCAGGAGTTAAGATAAAACTTTGATTTGAATGCTTGAATCCACTTTAACCGAGACTCATAAGGAAGGGAGGGTGTTTTTCCGCAACTCTTTTCAAAGAAAATGACCTGGTTTTAAATTGTACAATTGTAGCAAAATTCAACAGCAGCTCTTCACCCCTGTAGGAGTTCCCCGACTATGGAAGGGGTGTTCTGTACACGCAGAAAGCTAACAGCAGCAACAAAAACATGTTATTTGAAAAGGATGCCATCTGCAAAGTAGCTAAGGCTAGATTCTGAACCCCTTACTCATATTGGAAAGGAATTACTTCCCCAAAAAGCCTCATGTACTGATGACATACTGAAGTTTAAATACCTCTTGAAAACGCACTGCTACTTTGATATTTACAAGTAACAATAATAGCATGCTTCTCTGGAAATTTCAGATTGCCTGGTCATATATGAATATAAATATATCAAACATTGTGAGCTGGACTCTTGGCCAGTATAAATTGGTGTAGTGCTTTGAAGCCAATGGAGCTACACTGATTTGCACCAGCTGAGGACCTGTCCCAGTGTCTTGAAAACTTTGCAATTTGATTGAATTGAAGCAAAAGATTTCCCTTCGTTTTAATCCTCAATGTTGCAGTCGCTTCAAAAAAGCGCTTCTGAGCCATTTTGAATTTTTTCTGAACAGTGTATATGGACAGGTCATGGTCAATAAATAAAAATTCACGGCCCGTGACCTGTTCATGAGTTTTACCAAAAATACCCCTGACTAAATCTCTACTTCTGGGAACCTACTGCTCTGGGGAACCCCTGCTGGGGGGACCTGCTCCAGAATTGGTGGTTGACTGCCCCCTGGCCGCTGCTCCCGGGGACTGCTCTCTGGACGGCCTCTGGGCTCCCCTGTGGCCACTGCTCCAGCCACCCTGGGACCACTGCCCCTCAGGCGGTTCCCCAGGACACCCACAGGACCGCTGCTCGGGCACTCCCCAGAGCCAGTCACACCAGCCGCTGTTCCAGTGGACCCCGGAGCCACCTGCCCAGGGCCTCCCGAGCAGTGGCCGGAGCAGCTGGCCTTGGGTCGCTCCAGCAGCGTCCAGTGCGGCTGGCCGTGGGGCGACCAAGCAGCTGGGGCCAGCTGCCCGGGCGGCCCTGAAGTCAGCTGCACCGGCCGCTGCGGAAATCACAGAGGTTGGGGAAGTCACAGATTCCATGACAGGTTTCAGAGTAGCAGCCGTGTTAGTCTGTATCCGCAAAAAGAACAGGAGTACTTGTGGCACCTTAGAGACTAACAAATTTATTAGAGCATAAGCTTTCGTGGGCTACAACCCACTTCTTCGGATGCATATAGAGTGAAACATTGAGGAGATACTTTCTGCAACCTCTGTGAAAAAATGATCAGCTAGGAGGCAACAAGAGCCATGTAGAGTATCAGAAAAAGAAATCTAAGCTCAAGATTTATCCTTTGGCGCTCGATCCTCTGTCCTCTACTTGGGCAAGGCTCCCACTGACGTAACCAGTAGCTCAATGAGAGTAAGGAAGATGGGGCTGGGCCCCAAGTCATGGTTTCACAGGACTTATTACTTTCATAGCAATGTGTGTTAGGGAGAGAATGTTGGCTCCGAGTTACCGTCCAAACTCGGAAAGGCCTAACTGGTGTGACTCTACATTCCTGCAGCCGAGATTTTGGGGGGGTCTTTTAACTCTATAAAGGATGTTTTCACTCTCTTGAGACCAGCGTTCCTGCAGTATCAAAGCCATGGCCCTGACAAAGTTAATCACAGCATGCAGTGGCAAGCCTGGTTTTCCAAAGTCCTACTCCCTTATTGAGATGACAGTGTAACACCTTGAACACTTAAAAGAATACACGTTCAGTGAATTCTTTTTGCTGGTTAGGAAAGAATCGTATCAACAGGAGTTGCAGCAAGCTGAGATTTTGCCAGTCCCTAGGGCATCCTTGTGGGGAACAGAAACTTGGAAAAGGGGAGCAGTGGCAGTGAGAAAGGAAATTTCAGCGTGAAAAATGATAGATTGGGAGCAGCACGAAAGATAATGGGAGTCAAGTGAGCTAAAACCACAGGTGACCTAAAGGATGGAATTGTTGGCTCCCGGGCTTTTCCTTCCAAACACGCATTAGCTGTGAAGCTTGTTAGCTAGTTTCCCTCCCTTAGGATGGTGTTTCACCATTAAATGGGACCCAGTAAGTTGAAGTAGCTGATCATACGGCAATACCAATTCTGCACCTGTATACACACACGTCTCTTTGTTCTGTGGGGCTAATCCTTCCATAGCACACTGCTGCCTACACTGCTGTCCCAGAGCGAGTGAAGGACCCGCCGCAGAATTGCCGCCGAAGACCCGGAGCACGGAAGGACCCCCCCCCCGCCACCGAATTGCCACCCCCCCAAATCCTGGTGCCCTAGGCGACCGCCTAGGTCGCCTAAATGGAAGCGCTGGCCCTGACTAGACAGGTGCCGAACAGGCAGAGCCATCTAATGCCAGCACAAGTCATTACCACTGCCTGGAGCCTTCAGGCCATTCTGTGCGACACTGTTCAGTTTCTTATACTTCTCTGATCGGCCTGGTGCCTGAGTGCCTTCCTCTGCATTCAAGTGATGTAACCAGCCTCGTGTGTCAGACCCCTCCTGGTTTGCAGGCTTTAGATTCTTAAAAATAAGGACCCAATCCTGCACCCACCGAAGTCAGTAGGAGTTCTGCTGCCAACTTAGTGGGAGAGAAATAACCTCCTCAGTTTCAATATGAGTGTGTCTTCTGAGCACAGCTTAAACCTTAGTTTTCACTCTTAAAGTTGTCCGGCTGCAGTGACCAGTTAGCAGTGTGTAATTACGTAGAGAGCAGTCATAAGGCTAGGTGCGTCCTTCTTTGTTTTCCACTGCAGTGTTAAAATCATAAAGGCTGCTGTGATTTGTATGAACACACACACAACACCACACACACACACACACACACACACACACACACACACACACTCTTAGTCAGTTACCGTTATTGAGGTCTAGCGAGCCTGCCTGTTTAAAGTCTACTTACCACAAACATGCTAAAAGTGGATAATAGCAACACAGTCTAATGAAGAAAAATGATTCAATTTCATGCTGGTTTGTTGTAATAACTTCTTTACCATTTTCACTCATTACTTTTGACTGGATGTTGATCACGGCAGATTTTGT